GATCCCTGACTCTTGGTTTCAACTCAGGTCGTGGTCTCGGGGTTCTGGGATTGAGCCCCACCATCGGGCTCCATGCTCAGTGAGGAGTCTACTTGAGATTCTCTCCCTCTCCCCGTCCCCATGCTCACATGTGCACCCACACTCTCTCTCAAATATAAAATCTTAAAAAGCTCTTCTAAAAACTTACCTTTTTAATTGACACATGACATTGTATCAATTTCAGATGCACAACATAATGATTCAATATTTGTGTATATTGAGACATGACCACCACAATAAGTCTGGTTAATATCTGTCACCTTACATAGTTTCTAGGAATTCACTTTTGAATAATATTTGAAGGAAATGGAACTAGCACATGAATCTCTGGGAAAGAGAATTCTGATAGAGGAAATGGCTAGTGCAAAGGCCCTGAAGCAGGACTGTGCCTGTACAGCTTAAGGAACAGGGAGGAAGCCATTGTAGCTGAGTGTAAGAGGAGTAGGAGATGAACCTGGAGGGTAGAAGAGAACTTGTAGGTCTTGGTATGAACTTTGGCCTTTATTTACTCTGAGCTGAAGGGTCTTTGAGAAGTCTGAGCAGAGGAAGGATATACTCTGACATAATAGCAGGATCCTGAGTAGAATGAAGATGAACAGCAACAGCAAGATTTATGGGGAGACTTGCGGGTAATCCAGATGAGAGGTGATGGCAGCTTGTGTGAGTGTGGTAGCAATCTGGATATATTTTGAAAGTAGAGACTGGTATTTCCTAACACTGGGTATGGATTATGAGATAAAGAGAGCAGTGAGGGATGATAGCAACATGTTTGGCCTGGGCAACTGGAAGAATGGAATTGCTGATAAACAAGATAGGGAAAAGCAGGAGGGACTATCAAGAGCTCAGTTTTGAATATTTTTAAAAAATATTTTATCTATTTATTAGAGTAAGAGAGCATGAGTGGGGTAGGGGGATTGGAGAGGAAAGGCAGAGAGAGAAGCAGACTCCCCACTGAGAAGAGAGCCAGACTTGAGGCTCAACCCCAGGACCCTGAGATCATGACCTGAGCTGAAGGCAGCCATTTGACCAACTGGTGCCCCCAGTTTTGAATATGTTAAATCCGAGTTACCTATTAGTCATCTAAGTGGAGATGTTCTGAGGCAGTTGGCTATATGGGTTTGGAGTTCATGGGAGAGGTCTGGATGGAAAATAGAAACTTATACATCCCAAACATTCTCTCATATTTCACAATCTGTGTAGCTCAAGAATCCAGGTACTCCGCCCGGGCACTTTTGTGCTTTGTGGCATCATCAATTGAAGTCCCTCAGAGCTATCTAGCTGGCTGGTCTAGGAGGGTCCAGACAGATTTGACTCCCTCATCTGGTGTTTTGGCAAGGTTGGTTCTGTGACCAGAGCACCTATGTGCGGCCTTTGTAGCATGGTATGTGTCAGGGTAGTCAGCCAGTGGTGGCTGGCTTTTCCCAAAGTGAACATTCCAGAAGAGTTGGAAAGAAACTACTTGGCCTTTTCTACCTAGCCTGGGAAATCATGCCTCGTCATTTCACTCGCTGGGTTATAAACAAGTTAATAGGCCAGCCTGGATTCAAGAGGGAAGGAATGAGCTTCCACTTCTTAATGGATGTGCGGCAGTGTCACACTGTAGGAAGCCACACAGGATGAGAGAGATCTTTGGAAAATCATTGACCACATCCCTCTATGGCTCACACCCAATAATCACCACCTCCAGAAAGGTCAGATCCGAATTATAAATGCCTTTTACTCTTTGTCCTCCCTGCTCGCTTCACTTGTATGCTCAATTGAACACTTTTTCAAAATCTTTGAGGCTTCAGTCCGGTGACCTTCAATTTTTCACTCTTACCATCTATTTCATGTTCACACTATCCTAGCTTTAAAGTCCAGTGTGCATGCAATGATTATTTCCTTGCAAATCAAGTCTTCTTAAGTCCCGTCACCTTGATCCCTCCTTTTCTTAGCTGGCAAAACTCCAACCTTAATTCAATCTGTCAGCCTCACATCTGCACCTGAGGAGTTCACCGTTTCGGGAGAAATGTGCAACCATATTGATTGGTATTGCTTTAAATCTGGAATTCCAGATTTACATACCAAACGAACATACACATCTTCACTCCAACGCCTCACTAGGACTGCAATAAGGAGTGGTGGTTGGGTGGGTGACAGAAGGACAGGCACATGAGAACACCTCACACACAAAAACCTCAAGTAGAAAATCAGGGAAAGACAACAGCAATAAAACTTTGCAGTCTAGAAAGTAAATGGATGAAAAGCAATTAATTTAGAACAGAGAGAGACAAATTCTGTGCTGGCAGTGGGGAACGTGGAGAACCAACCTGCTTTACTGCAGAATCCTCAGGATGTTCAGTAAGTGGCAGTCCTGGGTACTTACAGATCTGGGAGTGAATTGGGGGAGGGGCAAATGACAAAATAAGGAAGACTGGGTAAAAGTTATTTGCGAAATAACCCAGATTCCTTTTTCACTCTCTTCCAATGATGCAACTGCCTGCCTCCACCCAAAGTGACTTTATCCAACGTCAACAGAAGTCTGGCAATTTCGTGTTTAGATTCTGCTGTCTTTACGGGAGGGGATGAAGGTGAATGTGTGTTACAGAGGCAGGCAGAGTGGGGTGTAAAGGAGTAAGGTGAATGCACATCCACGAACGCACCAAACCAGACTATTTCACTGTACCCTGAGATGTGAAAGGCAAGAGGAGTGTTGTCTCAGTTGTAGAGGAGGTATGGTCAAGAAAGAATCTATACCCTCTGATGCTTCCGATCCTACGACCAGACCCTATATTCAACCTGTTTTCAAAGGCTCATCACCAGAAAATGCCTTTTCATCTCTTATGACTACCAGTCTAAAAGCTAGTTGTTGGTTTTTTTAAGATTATATTTATTCATGAGAGACACAGAGAGGCAGAGACACAGGCAGGGGGAGAGGCAGGCTCCCTATGGGGAGCCTGATCCGGAACTTGATCCCAGGATCACAACCTGAGTCGGAGGCAGATGCTCAACCACTGAGCCACTCAGGTGCCCCTAAAAGCTAGTTTTTAATCACTCAAGTTCCCAGTTATACCGGGTTGAATGGTGCCTCCCCCAAAATTCATGTCTGCTCACAACGTATCAAGGTGATATTTTTTGAAATAGTCTGTGGATGTAATCAAGTTAAGATGAGGTCATGCTGGATAAAAAGTGGGTCCTAAATGTAATATGACCGTTCTCCTTATAAGAAGAGGCAAATTTGGACACAGAGACACAGAAACACGGGGAGAATGTCATGTGACAACTGAGGCAGAGATTGTAGTTAGGCTATCACCAGCTAAGGAATGCCAAGAATTCCTGGCAACCACTAGAAACTAGGAGAAAGGTATGAAAACAGATTCTCCGGCTGAGGTCCCAAAAAGGGAACAACCCAATGACACTTTGATTTCAGACTTCTGACCTCCCAAACTGTGAGAGAATGAAGTTCTGTTGTTTTAAGTCACCCAATTTGCGGTAACATGTAATGGCAGCCCTAGGAAACTGATACTCCAAGCATATATGAGAAGCTGGATGCCAGGCACTAATTTCCCAGCCTCACTCAGAGAAAGCTATACAGTGCTCCTATGCTTTGACCCCACGATCCTATTGACAGCCTGTATTGTACCTCTAGTTCCTCTGCTCCATGTAATATTCTTTCTTGCTTCACTCCTTTATAGAGCATGTCCTCCATTTGCAGCCTTGATGAAAATCTCCATGAGGATCTTAACCTAGAGAATCAGTCCCCGCAACCATCAGTCACCTAATTAAAATCACCCAGGTTGAGATGTCCAAGAAAATCAGTTTTCAGTGGACAATCTTTGCTCCTTCCATATTAAAGTAAGTATTTGAATCAAGTCAATGCTCTTTTTATAAGTCAGCTAACCGTGCCAAACAAGTGAACAGAAAAACTATCTCATAGCATTTGTGTCAGCTCAGGTCCTCTGGGAAGCAAACGCTAAGAGTAGGAAGGGAAAAAGGCCCTGTGAGGGATAAAGGGTGAAGAAGCAAGATTTTATAGATCTTAAGGCAAGATTTGGTTGTGTAGACATCTATATATTCCTTAGCAGCTGATATCTCTCTGATTAATCGAGAGATTATGTCTTTGATCAGTAAAACTTTAAAAGAATTTTCTCTAATTTCGACCATGGTACATCCTTAGCAAAAATAGTAGATTATATTTTCTGTTTTCCTGAAATTCTTTTTAAATACTAAACCTGACCTATACTGGGGAAAACATTTTGTGTAGAATTTATATAGATGGAGAGATGCGAGGGAGAAAGGTGACAGCAATAGAAACAGTATGCAGAATATGTGGTGATTTGGCATGTTTGCTAATGCTGGTATGAACTGACTGCACAGAGATTTTGTGGTGGAAGGGGGAGGCAAGACACCACAGGAGAGGCCATGGGCACGGACACGGGGTTTGGAGAACGTAGGAGAATAACCCGGTGCCTCTATCTATTGCTCTGCGATAGAAGTGAAGACTAGTGTTTTGTCCCAATATGCAAGTAAATCCTGCTCAGACCCTAGGACAGGCCCTGTCTTTCATCTGGAGGGACACGGAGTTGGAATAGGAAATCGACCCTACAAACAGGAGGGACCCTTACAGAGGGGAGGGAGAAAACCTAACTTTGTCTGGACCTTGACTTGGAGCCATCTAGATATGCTTGAGGGAACACTGGGGAAAGCTGAAACTGATCTCTGCCTTGAGGCAGGAGGGCAAAAACAAAGTCAAAACAGACCCTAGGGTCCTGGAAGGATGAGCAAGCCCTATCTAATTAGCCAAAGCTCTGTGTCTGTTTCCCTTAAAAACCATGGAAACCATAGAGTCTTCCTTGCACATGACAGTCTTTTCTCAAGTGGTCATCCAGTCCACACTATAAACACCCATGACAGGTTACTTCCTACCTCCCGAGGCAGGCTTATAGAGAATGATTTAGAAGACAACCAGTGTAAAGTTCATTCACCTCACACGAGTAAGTCTAATTTCTGGTCTGCCAGAGGATCAAACTTTATAATCACTCTCCTTTTTGCTTTTTGTGGGATGTCTTCTCTGGTTTTTCTAGTTCTTGCTCCCTACCTATCAAGTAACATTTAAGTTAGAGTATGTGGAAGCTGATTATAATATCCATTTGATAGATTTTCCAGGACCTTTTTTGGGCCATCGGTCATTTCAAATTTCATTAACACCTGCACCAGAGGGTGAATGGGAAAGGGAAAGGTGTTAAACAAAGATAGAAATGACTAATGGACCAGACTTCTTTTTTTCTTTTTAAACAAAATTACAGGCATGGAATTACCCTAAATTGTCATCCATTTTGTGGTTCTGTTTGGAAATTTACTAGTATATTGGGCATCACTAAATATATCTAAAAGATAGTTAGGCAGTAACATAACTCAGACATACCATTATTCCTGAGCAATAAGCTTGCAGCATTTACCCACAGTCCTTGTCTCAGCTGCCTGCCTCAGTGGAATTCCCACTCCTTTTGGTATGGTTTTGAGAGTTGGGACATCATCTTTATCTATTGGCTTCTGTGGTATTTACTGCATCTAAAATGAAAGATTTTGCATTTAAATGTTGCCTGGAAAAGACACAATATCTTGCTTTCTTGTATTCATTCATTCAAAGTAATTATTGCTGTCACGGTCTCATGTGCATTGTTTCCAAACCATAATGATTTGAGACTTATAGAGCATGGTAAAAGAGTTGAATTGTTTTTTCAAGCAGGCAATTTTGTGAAGCAAATGGTAGTAATCTGAGCCACTTCTTGGTTTCTAAAGATTTCATCTGTCCGCAGGATGATTTCAGGATCCATACAGTTCCTTACCTGGAGGTTAAAATCCTATGTTCAAAATCCAATTTTTCCATTTCCCACATGTAGAATGCAGGTGTGAGAATGTAAAATAAGTCAGGTTCATTCACAGAGTTTCCTACATCCTTTGGCTCAGAGCATCTCTGAGTTCTTTGTAATTAGCTTAAAAGAAACATGGGGGGAAAGTTATAGTCTTTTCAAATAAACTGTATGTTTCCCTTAGGAATTTATACTAAAATGTGTATTTATTTTTAAAAACCAAATGATATGAATATAAGAAATGCAATACTGGGTCAGCCCAATGGTCTAACCAGCTGTGGTTTCAAAGTTTCATAGTATTCCATTAATGTTGGCCTCAGAAGTTTGGGGATTTGTTTCAAACTCCGTGGGCTTTTTTTAATATGCAAATCTGTATTTACCATTCATAGGTTAATCTAAACCTTTCCTGAATTTACTGATATCTTCAATGTGCATCAACTAAAGAAACAAGCTCCCCAATGGCAAGGGTACTACACCTTATCAATCCTGAGCTGATAGCAAGGGTTTTACTACAGGGCAGTAAGAAATGAGATGAGTAATGCAATCTATCACAGTTATCCTCTTGGTCATAACTATTTACATCCCTGCCACATGCAAAATTCACTCAGTCCCATCCTATGACACTGTCTCACACCCCCTAAATGCTCATTTAATCATGATATCTGCCAGAAGTCCAGGATCCTGTGATCCTTTTTTCCCTAAGGATTTTATTTATTTATTTGCAGAGAGAGAGAGAGAGAGCACAGCAGGGGGAGTGGGAGAAGCAGGCTCCTCACTGAACAAGGAGTGCCACACAGGGCTCCATCTCAGGACCCTGGGATCATGACCTGAGTTGAAGGCAGACGTGCCTTCAGATGCCCCACCAAGAAAGAAAACTCTTAAATTGATTGCTTAACCAACTGAGCCACCGAGGCACCCATAGGATCTTGTGATCCTCATCAGTATAGGTCAGCTTCGTATTTAAAAATAATTATAGGGGGGCACCTGGGTGGCTCAGTGGTTGAGCATCTGCCTTTGACTCAGGTCATGATCCCGGAGTTCTGGGATTGAGTCCCGCATCGGATTCCCCACAGGGAGCCTGCTTCTCCCTCTGCCCATGTCTCTGCCTCTCTGTGTGTCTCTCATGAATAAATAGATAAAGCTTTATAAATAAATAAATAGATAAATAAAATTATAGGGATATATGGAAAATATAATCTACTATTTTTCTTTTTTTTAAGATTTTATTTATTCATGAGAGACACACAGAGAGAGAGAGAGAGAGAGGTAGAGACACAGGCAGAGGGAGAAGCAGGCTCCATGCAGGGAGCCCAACATGGGACTCGATCCTGGGGCTCCAGGATCACACCCCTGGCTGAAGGCAGGCGCTAAACCACTGAGCCACCCAGGCATCCCCAATCTACTATTTTTCTAATGATACAGCATAAGCCGATATCTATTAGAGAAAATTCTTTAAAAATTTTATCTATCAAAAACATTGCAAACTCTTGAATAATTAGAGCAAGCTCAGCTGCTAGGGAATATGCAAATGTCTACCCAACAAAATCTTGCCTATAAAACTCTTTAAAATGTATTACTCAGTTGCCTGTCCCCAAAACATTTCCTGCTTTTTAAAATAGAGAATACTGAACAGGATTTAAAGCTTTCCTTGATGACTCAGGGCTACTATTATGGAAAACAATTTCATAATGATGTGATTTCCTAAGGATTTTTAAGGTGGGTAGAGTGGCTTGCTCCTTTGAATGGCCCCAGAACTTGGCAAAAATTTTTTTTAACTCGTTACCTATCACCTCCCTTTGCTTATCAGCTGATACTTTTTGCTTCTGTTGTACCTCCTTCTAGTACTTCCCTTGCTGCTCTTAATTGGTGTTACTCTAATTTGGGATTATATCCTAATTGACTCTCAACAAGTCTTCTTTTTTAGTTTTTCTGCCTTAAACATTTCTACCACCTCTTTTCTCTGCTGTCAGCTGCCACTTTTATTGGTGTCTGTATGCTTTTCTGTGCCTAACTTAAAAGCTTGTTTTATACTAGCTTCTGGGAGAGAATTGAGAATCATTGGGTAAATCTGTAGAAATGTGCATGAATTTTGCGATATCTGTTTTCTATTTCGGAGCCTTTTGTCCATTATTCTCAGAACTATGGCCGAGTTTCAGATGTTAAAAGGTGTGTTCAATCTATCACTGAAATGAAAGGTTTTAGAAAGAAAAATAAGAAAATAGACTATTTAAAAAATCAGTTTTAAGACTGTCCTGATAAAATTTCCTAGATCTTGAGTATCTAAACAAAATGATAGATGAAAGGATGGTGGGATGCATTGATTGTTTCTGCTTTGAAGCCAATGAGTGCTCTTTCCTATTCAATTGTAAGTATCTCCAAGAAAGGAATTGTTTTTTTACTCATTTTTGTATCTTCTGTGCCCAACAGTGTCCAACACATAGAAAATATTCATCAATATTTGTTGGGAGTAATTTACTTGATCCAGCGGCCATAATTACAAAAGATTATCTGTCAGTAAGAGAAAGATTAATTGTTCTGCATTCTGCCTCAGGTAGAAAGCAGACGTCTTTAGCAATGAGATGAGCCCAAATCTCCTAAATGACCTCCCATTTCTCTCTTCCTGTCTTCCAGTCTTCACACCCAACTCCTCATCTCTACCGCCACCCCAGGATTTCTGAGTAATGGTGTTTCACCACTTTGGTTTAGAGCTTTGAACAAAAATTAAAAAGTTGTGCTACGTGAACAGATTTTATGCATACAGATTTCAAATATCTGAGTCTGGTTCATATCTCCTGGTAATTTTATAGCAAAAAGCTGGTTGCTGAGCCCGTGTCTACATGTTTAGCATTTTGCTGACCTACAGGGAAGGAGCAGGAGGTGACTATGTGTATGACTTGAAAGGATGCCTCATTATTTTATGTTAACTGTGCTCTTTTATTTCTCTGTTCGTACAAACATTAGAGTATTCACTGTATTCACTGC